GGAAGAGGGAAGAGCAGCTACTAACATCGCATCTGACATTGGAAACGCTGAGTTGCATAACTAACCCCTTGAAGAGAAGCGGGACTTAGGTGCGTGAGTAATTCTCATTCTCTCCGGAATTCGTTCCTCTCCGTTAGACCTAGTCCTAGTGGCCTTCCTGCTGACTGGTTCCCCGGAGGCACTGCCTCGAAACTCGCTTTTATAATAGAAACAGGGAACAGATCAGAAAGAAGCCTTTCATTAGTGGACGGCGTCCAGAAAGGGGCCATAGCGCCGGCAGGTGCAGTGGAATCACCTGACGCCATTGCGTTCATTACTTTTATAGCAACAACCCCAGGCCAAATTGGTGGGATAGCAGCGGTCAATAATAAACTTTAGGATGCCAAGCTGGTTGAAAATGAAAAAAAAACCAAAGGGAACCGACGATAAAGCCATTAACAAGTATTCCCTCCCTTCCTCCTTGAAATAAGGAAGGGCGGGCCGGACGAGTTGTCTGAACTTGCTTGCTCCATGGCTCCACTAACCCGCGCGTATTTGAATTAGCCGCTACGTCGTAATCCACGTTGCGTGTCATGGGGTGTGCGCGAGGTATCTCGTCCATTAGCTCACATTAGCCGTCATTAGCTCACTTTGTAAGGCCCTAGCGCCATTGTCGCGCACTTTCGAGCCGCGACAACGGCACATCTGTGATACTCGAAGGCTCACCCACAAAATAGATGCTTCGACACGGCCTCGTCTGGGGTTGTTACTTCAAAGACATTTCTGGTATTACCTAGGTGTGGGTTATTGCATCCAAAGATGAAAGCAGACCGTTAGTGCTCGTCCACCAATGGTCAACCACATCCACATCCTTAGATTACTTTGCGAGCGATGTTGAGTCAATTCTGAGGTTTTGCCAACGCTCACTGGCCAAGTAACTTCCAGGCGTAAGAATAAATACTGCCGTGGTAAATGATGTCATAATAGATTATGTCGATAGGGGCTTTTGAAGTAGAGGAGCAATTCTCACCACTTCACGGATTATGCGACCGTATGGAGGCGTGGAATAGAAGCTCGAATCCTGTTCTCGATAGGCATCATACAAATGATAGGAGAGCATTTGAAGAGGACGGGGCATGCATGGTTCCTGAAATGAATGTTCTAAAAAATTTGTTCAACTAACATATAGTGGATTAAAAGCATTCAACATGCAGCGCTTCGAATCTTCGTGGAATGGCATTGACAGGGGTCTCCACACTCCCCTCTCCCATCCAAGCGCTCTTCCACCAACAAAAGCTAGCGACGTCAATGAGAACCGCCCCGCCTTTTACCCGTCGTTCACACTGCCTTTAAAGAAGCGATTACGATAATAAGAGAGCGCGGAAGCACGGGATGATGAGGGATCGGGGAGGTATATGCGCCATACGAAGCAGTTTCTTGGCTGCCATTGGCGAGGTGTGGTGCTTTCACGACGAGGGTGTGTTAGTTGCTGGAGCTCCCCGCCCCAAAAGCGATCCGCCCACTAGTTTAGTTGGTGATTTGGACGAGCTGTGTTGCCAGCAAAACTGGAGCAACTCGACTGAGTATGGATTGGTGTGGCGCCACCAACCACGTTGCGATAAACTCGTCCATACATCCGCCGTCTTAACCGCTGTTCGTCCCTGGGCGAAAATCTGCGAAACAAGGGGGTTCTCTACCGCTTTTCCTGACCATTTCTTGCTTTATCGCCCTTGGCATACCTTTGAGCATCCGTACGTCCCCTGTATACACCTCTATGTACAACCTATCGTAATCTCTGCCTTCGAAGCGATTTGACCCGACAAAACTTCTGAGAAAGTGACTGGTTTGGTATGCTTGCCATTGCGCACGCATTTGGGTAATGTCTCACTCACCAGGAAGGTCTTTCAGGGCGTGACGAGCTTTTTGAAAACGGTCTTTTGCATGATATAGGGGCAGATGCGGGAACCACAGAACCATGTTTAATTTTTCCTGAACGGCCCTCTGAATACCAGAAAAGGGGGTCCCTAGTTCGATTCCTCTTGGTGACAAATTTTTGCATTTCGAGTTGACGTTCCAAAATTCGCGCAAAATGGAGTTCTGATTGTTCTGGTTGGTTCTAACTCCATTTTGCGCGAATTTTGGCACGTCAACTCGAAATGCAAAAATTTGTACGTTACACGAGGAATTTCCGCAGACTGAGGACCCCCTTTTCTGGTATTCCGTTCAGGAAAAATTAAACATGGTTCTTGGGTCCCCGCATCTGCCCCTATGTCATGCAGAAGACCGTTTTCAAAAAGCTCGTCACGCCCTGAAAGACCTTCCTGGTTAGCACGTGCTGGGAAAGATGGTTAGGATGAATAATGCTGGTCAAATCTTCTGCAGAATTATTTGATCTTGATAGAAACACTTTCAAGTTCTAGCCGCTTTAAGCTCACATAAGAAACTGTAGAACAATAAACCTGATTTAAAGATTCCAAAAGAAAAGTCTCCTCACTTCTCCGTATTGGAGTTTATTGAATTCATAGTTAGTCTTCATTTCAGCGACCTTGTTCTTGTCGGTCACAAATCGCCATGGTAACGCACCGACCATATTCTCGATTGCAATGTAGTAAACCGACCATAAATCGTCCCATCGACATTGATCCTGCAAACGCTGAGTCTATACATGACACTTATGTCCTCTAACGAATACTATTATGGAGTTTTGCCGTCACTATGGCATCCACCTTACGGATGTTAGTCAAGAGGTCCACCGCGCGAAGACGTGATTGACATCACCGCGTTTGGCGTGTTGCGCTGTGGAAGATAACAGATCCAGTGAATTCAAAGTGGAATGTGTTGGTGCAGCTTGCAAGCAGTTAGCTGTACTTATTCATTTAGTTAGTTTATTTTTTTTACCATAAGCGTGCAAATTACTTCTCAATCAATTCTTTCTATTTCAATATTATATTTTTTCTCTTTCACTTTTTACATTATTTTTATTTTTTTTCTTATTATTTCATTTTTTTCCTCGGTCGACTACTAAAATTAAATTACTGTTTATTTTCATATTCTAATTTCAGCTTTTAGTCTTTCGACCCTGCTCTCCAGTCAGCATTACCTCTCACTTACTCTGAACAGCTTGGAACTGCACTTGAGATGGAAACGCTGGACGATCCTGTTAAGTGAATCTGTGTTAGGAATGCTAGGTGGCCGCCGGGGTGGCCAGCTGTCTCAAAGTATAATTTACTGTATTATGATTCTTTCTCAAATAAGGATGTGGTGTTGAGTACTCATGTAGGGGAGAGGTGAAACTCCATGGGATTTCAAAAGATAAAATGCTCTAAGTCACAAGCGGGAGGCCTACGTCTTGTTTACATCACCCCTTTGTATAGTGTGTTATCTATTGTATTCGTCGCTTAGAGGCCGCTATTTTCCACCGCAGTGTAAGCTGCACTAACATCAACCACGCTATGCGCACCAGTAGACAGCCTTCGTAAGCACCCCCGAGCCAGCTCCTGGGGTTCGTGTTTAGATCAAAAGAGGTGCCTACAGCACCCGCCCCTGTTGTGCTGCGGTCTCGGTAGTTGGTTATTTTCAGGGCTCGGTGGCTTGTGGTTCTGATACACACTCGAAAGCTTTCTCATGCGGTTTTTTAGCAGGAAAAAAAAACATAGATAACACACTATCTTTCTCAACCAGCTCAACATATACATTTACATTCTGTTGAGGTCTCATGGGGCTCCATCGCAGTGAAAAAAAACCCTCTTTTAAGACTATTTCAACCAAAGTCAATCGGTTGTGATATAAGTTATTGCGTTGTGCCACATATATTATCTTGTGATTGACCAATAAATGAATGATATGACCAGAGTCAACCCTGCGTTGCGCAGTTCGCAACGGCACGTTGAGAGATCCTCAACGCACGCTGTATGGGCGGAGACACAGACGGCTCGAGCATGCGAGTGTGAATGTTCGCGCGAGAGAACGTGTCTAATCGGGCGAAACTGCGCAACGCAGGGTTGACTCTGGCAACGCATGGGTTTCACTCAAACCTGGTCATCATATACAAACAGCCCACCCGTGTTCTTCATCAGTAACAGCCTTTTTCATTCGTCCACCCAACCAGCGGCTGGTCGAGAAGTGAGGTTTCTCATTTTTCAGCGGAATTTCAAACAATATTTTCTTTGATCGTACATAGCACATCTACACGGGGAAGGAAGGTGTCAATACCACTCTTCTTTAGCTCTGTGGCCCGAATTCGCCTCTCAACGTTCGCACCTCGCACTGGATCGAATTCGTCTACAAAAACTAGGTATTTCACCATTTCGGAAAAGTGGAGGCTAATATCAATGGCTGATATTTGGGAGGTTGTGCACCGATGAGGAAATGAGCTACGTCCCCCGAGCCAGTGTTTGAACCAGCAACAGTAAACATCTTTTATAATCGTAAACTGATCCTATTCAAGCTCTAATCAGACAAAGTGAGGGATCGACTTAGGCTTTGCGTCTGCGTTCCTCTATGGATTACGGTAGATGCCACAGAGGCTTAAATAGTCATTTGAAGTGGCAGCACTGAGTTTGGTCTTTACATTTGGATACTGACTTGTCTGTTGTGCGTATTCAGTGATGCGTAGCGAACAGTGCCGTGGAATGGACTGGACGGCTTTCGTTCTTTGTAGGAGCCATCAGTATTGATAAAATACCTAAAACAACTCTGAAAATTGATCAACGGCTCCAGTGATACTACAGTACTCACTTACCTGCACATGCCAAAATCTATCAGATACAACTTGTGAGTTTCATTGTCTCCTATGCAAAAGTTCGCTGGTTTCACATCTCTGAAATTTGCCAACATTTAGATTTTTACTCTATTCTCATCCAATGTCCTTCGACTCAGGACAACACCCGCGAAACCCATTGCTCTAAAGAGCCATACACCACGATCAAATTGGGAAGGGGGACTATTGGAGAGAGACGTTCGTTCTCAAAAGAAGAAATGAAAAGAAAAAATGGAAAGAAAGAAGGAAAAGGAGAAAAGAGAAAGAAGAAGAAGGAGAAAGAAAAAAATCGGAGAAGAACCAAAAGCAGCCACTATTAACACGAATATGAAAATAAAAGTGCGACGAGAAGAACCGCAACTGCAGAAAAAAGCAAAGAGACCATAGAAAACACTGAAGCGAAGTGCATTCTTTGTATGATGTGGATCGGAGATAAGGCGAAGAAGTACAGCGTGCAGAGGAGAGAGAATACGCGAAAGTGCATTGCGAACGAGAGGACGCAGAAACCCAACCCATGTAGCGCTTGAGAAAAATGAAAGCCGTTGAAGCGGTTGTGACAAAGTCCTAGCTCTTATCGCGAACTTTCAAGTAACGAATTTCGTGGATAGCTCTATTCAGTAGCTGGCGGAGGAGATGATGCACTTGAACTCATCGTGAGGTGTGTCTCGAACCAGCTTTGAAAAATGGAAACGTAAGTCGGGCTTGACAAATGGGTGATGCAAACAGCTACTATTCCAAGTCCCCTAAGAGCTTTTTTAAACCTACAGGCGGTCAAAATTATTAGCTGAACCAGCTCTTTTCTACACTACATGATTATTGTCCCAAAAAAAACTCGAAGATTAAGGAGACATTGTGAGCCAGATTTTTTTTGAAGCTTGAAAATTCAAGGACTCAAAAGACTGGACCACTTGCAATATCAGAAGATGAAGCAAACTGACAATCGAGGGATAAATCAAGCACAAAACGTAACATGGGTCAATACTTTTGACAGCTGCTGTAACCAGTCGCAGTTGGAAATATTGTATTAAGCTAATTAGCCAGCCCTAAAGGCACATGCCGCAATTGCCAATGCTCAGGTCAGTACGCCTTGAGATGACGAGGTAATTGCTGCTGCAGTTAATGCTTTGAAGTAATAAGAGCGCGAACGAAACGAAGCCTTTCAAGCACATGCCAGCCAACGGAACGGTAGAGCCTTTCAGCAGCCCCACAAGCAAACCGTATGATCGGAGATCGGTGCACTTATAACTAGCTGACCTTTCTTTCACCCTTACCGAGGGGCATGGTGAGCAGCACCGTGCCAAAGGGAGGGGGGAGGGACAAGAAGGGGTTACATCGGCCCCTGCCCATACGACCACGCTACTTCGTGCTGTAAGGTTTATCCTACATTTGTTGCATTCAACATAATTGCTACCATATCTAGAATATTTTCATTTCCTTGGGGCAATTTTGTTCCCATACCTAAGGTTCGTAAAGTGCAGGAAAAGGATAAGTACCTGTGTAGCCATCCATGTGAGTGAATGAATTGCAAAGCTGACATCATTCGTTCCATGATCCACAACGATGTGGTCATGCTGAAACCAGTGATTAAGAGAACTTAGAGTAAAAGAGGAGAAAAGTCATTTTCAAGGGAGTCCTTCTCATCAAGGAGTTAGATGTTGTTATAAAGTTTTGACAACTCTTGTTATATTTCTCACAGGGCAAAAGCACTTCGGCGCAGGCGATACTCGAGCCCACACCTACCTTTTACCGCCAATTGTGCTTACAAATCAGTTACACGGGTACCCCCCAGGAGGCCCGTCGCGCAGCAAGAAGGCAGAGTCGCGGATGAGTCGCAGCAGTCGCGTGATGTGCGATGTACGAAGTTAACAAAGGCCATAAAAAAAACCCCCCCCCCCCCCCCCCCCCCCCCCCCCCCCCCCCCCCCCCCCCCCCCCCCCCCCCCCCCCCCCCCCCCCCCCCCCCCCCCCCCCCTCCATTTAACCTACGCAAAACCCTACACTGTACGCGCGCAACTCGTCCGCTGACTCGCCTTTTTGCGCGCGCGACGGGCCTCCTGAGGGTGTTACCCCAGTTACACTACCAGGGCACAATCCTTGTTTAGTCTCATGATGTCACAGAGGATAAGTTAACAGGCGTAAAACGCGGAGCACCTGAACTGATCCTTTGGCGTCGCCCGTTTCAACTCTCGCAAGTTTGCTCCGCAGTGATCCATCACCTGAAAATAACGCGCATTTTCTTTCACTCTTCGTAGCCTAACTTAATGCTTTCTACTTGTTGAAAAGTGACAGCGTCATGGTAGAAAGAACTGACTACACGACCTCTTGGAATCCCTAAAATTAGAGCCCCGTCAGTATCTCGAGAAGTGGAAGGATGGATGAATCTGTGTATCGCCTGGCCTTTTCTTGGGTGTGATATTCCCTTTGCTGTCGACTGGGCAAAGTCGGCAGCAAAGGGAATATCACACCCCAAGAAATGATTGGATTGATTCTGATTTGCAGATAGATAGTACTCATATCACTGTATATTGAGCAGCCAGAGCGATGGGGTTAAACGATCCGTGGGAACTGGTTGGGTGGCTGGGCCTAATAAAGACGCTATTGTGAGAAAGGAACTGATTACCGGTGCCATATTCAACTCAACAGAGCGAACATCTTTGAAAGCTCCAGCCACGTGCACTTGGGTCGAGAAAGCAACATAGTGAGCGAGAGCCCAGCAAAAGGACATAAGCGGCATGGGGAGCGTTCGGGTTCATCA